AACTGACATATCAGGTAGTGTACTATCATGGTAGGTTCCTAGAACACTTGATACCATGTGCATAGTACAATTATCTGTGTTCATTCAGCTGTTTCATTATTCTATGTAAAATATTATAATTGTTTTTATATCTCAGATAAACATTTGCAGTAGATTTAACTAGTGGCTTCTTTACTTAGCTCAAAAAATAGAAGAGAGAGAGAGAAGGAAATGTTTATGCATCAAGTCTTATAGAGCTTTTCTTCTAATTCTGACCCTTACTCATGAGAAAAAATAGTAACTGCACTAAATTGTATAGCAATCAAGACTTGTCTTTGAAGCAAATATAAACGGTTTCCAGTCATGTCTGGGTCTGAATTGTGTAACATATTTCACATTTCATATGGGCAGTTACGCTAATAGCAGTGGGAAAGCAAAAATGTTTTTAGTCCAAAGTTTGAAACTCAGAGAAGTTCAGCTCTGTTCTCTCTCCAGACTACGTTCAGCAACATTGGAAGGAGGATGCTTTTTTTGGCTACCAGTTTCTAAATGGTGTCAACCCCATGCTGATCCGACGTTGCACTGCTTTGCCCAGTAACTTCCCCGTCACTGATGACATGGTCTTCCCCAGTGGTCAGTGCAACTTGGCAGATGAACTGAAGGTAACTGTATCACTACTGAAATAAATTAGACCTAAACTTCCCATGTATCTAGCAGCGTTCGGTTTTGTAAATACAATATAGTGTCCACACTGTGCTTGTGAGTCAAACCCTGTCTCATCTCCACTGAAATTTTAAACAGAATGGCAACATATTTCTGTGTGACTACAAGCTTCTGGATGGACTGCCAGCAAACACCATCAATGGGAAAAAGCAGTACCTGATGGCTCCCCTTGTCCTGCTCCACAAAACACCTGATGATAACCTGATGCCAATTGCTATTCAAGTGAGATTAGTCCTCAAATATACCCAGCTGTATGTTAGAGTATCGATTAAAATTCTTTCTCCTTGAGCCACATAAAAAAGTTCATCCCAAAAGAAAGTAAGGTTTTAATTTAAAAACAAATCCCAAATTTGTCTCAAAGGTCTTTCAATCTGTACAATATAAAAACACCCATTCTCCTTAGGCTCTTGATTCAGATAAGGAGCAACAAAGAAGTGATCTCTTTTCCAATACAAACATGCAATAGATGTCATGTGTATAGAGCAGTACACTAATAGAACAGGCTCTGGCCGCCTTGTAAAAGGGATTCAATAGAAATGTGAATTTGCCCTTAAGGGATCAAACTACCTGTCTAGCAGAACAAACCTCTATCTTCTCTTGTAGCTGAAGCAGACTCCAGCAGAAGACAACCCAATCTTTTTTCCTACTGATTCTGAATATGACTGGTTGATGGCCAAGATTTTTGTGAGAAGTGCAGATTTCACTATGCATGGACTCAATGTTCACCTGCTGCGAACTCACCTGCTGGCTGAAGTGTTTGCGGTGTCGCTGCTGCGCAATGTGCCCATGGTACATCCACTGTACAAGGTAAATGGGGAAAATACTTATATGTACTGAACTTTCTCTACTTGTAGTTTTTTCAACTTGTTGATTTTAGTGTCCTCCAAACATGATGAAGAATAATTTTTGTTTCTCACTGCTAAATGATCGTCAACAAGCCATAGCATTACTAACAAAGTTCTCTCTTTTCTTCAGCTCCTCGTACCTCACACTCGCTACACTCTACAGACCAACTTCTTAGCTCGACAACTTCTAATATCCAAGACTGGAATTTTCCCAGTGGTATGAAAAGACCAACACGCTCAGTAGACATTTACCTAAACAATGTTTTTTCAGCATAATAAACAGTATTTGTTTCTAACTATATTCCTTATATGTTTGACTGTTCTCTAGTTTACAGCTACTGGATATGATACTTTTTACAGTGTTCTGAGGAGATCATTGCCATCAGTGACCTTCAGCTCCCTCTGTATCCCAGATGACATAGCTGAGCGTGGACTGGAAGATGTGCCAAACTTCTACTACAGAAATGATGGACTCATGCTTTGGAATACCATCAACAGGTGTTATAAGCAGCTTTAATTCTGCTTTATGCTATTTAAATAATATTGCAATCACCTCTGAACAGTTAATGTTGAAATAAGCTGAAAATTGCCAGATTATTAAGTACACCTTAATAATACCACAAATAAATAATGCAGTTTAAAAGTGTAATAACCTCAGGATGGTTATAGCGTAATGGTCGGTTTTTGCCAGGCTAGCCATTTCCACTCTTTATGCTAAGCTAAATTAAGTCATTCACCTGCAGCTCTATACTTAAAGAGCCCATGGCATGCTTTTCCTTGTTTTCTGACTTATCTGCAATGTTACAACAGTGAATTATCATCTTAGATGTGACCTAAAGCTCAAAAAATGAGGTGTTTGTATGTTTTAGTACTTCTATGCAGAAGCAACTTGGTTTATACACGTCTCACAAACTATCGCTCGCAGGACTTTTTTTCTAATAAAATAAAGTATTAAGTGATAATTTAAGGATCTCAAATGCTCATATTCTCTAGGCAGCTGCACATTTATATGAGCTTGCCTGACTACAAGGGAGGCGACAGTGGTGTGGTGGGTAGAGCAGTCGTCTCCCAAACTCAAGGTTGAAGGTTTGAATCTCGGTGCCTGATGTATGATCCACTATGCTAAGTTAATAAAACAGAACAGACCTGACCATTCAGTGATATCTTTTGCTCAAGGGATGGCCATAAATTTATCTCACATGAGTCTTTTACTACTACGG